TTTGCCCTGCCTATTTAAAAAAATATTTGAGACAGAATACAGTAGGTTCCAGAAACAGCTTTTAGATATATAAGTATGATATGTGTGTATGTGTGTAGGAACATTAACAGTTGTTTGAATTGATGTCAGAAATATTATAAATATTCAAGTATATATGTGTAGGTGAACATTAGTTTGAAACAATGTTACATTATTTTACAAGTCTTTAAAATGATGGTAACTTATATTACTAAAGGGTTTGTTTATCCTTTGTGTCTTCTAGTAATATCTGCTTCTTCTGACACGACTGTAAAAGTATGGAATGCACATAAGGGATTTTGCATGTCAACATTGAGGACACATAAGGTAAAACAACTAATGTAATTTTCAGTGTCTTTAGTGTAACATTGGGATCTCAGTGCTTTCTGTGGCTCATTTTCTTATTGACCTAAAGAGGAGATCACAGTATATGTGTTCTATTACAGGACTACGTAAAGGCCTTAGCATATGCCAAGGACAAAGAACTGGTAGCATCAGCTGGGTTGGACAGACAAATATTCCTTTGGGATGTGAATACTCTGACAGCACTGACTGCCTCAAATAACACTGTCACAAGTAAGGTGTTTGAAAAAAATTTCTTTGAAAGTGCTCCAAGATGACATAAATAAAGAATGGTTTATAAAACGTCTTTAATAGGTTTGCATCGAGACAGTGGTTCATATTTTGAGAGTGCTTCTACCTACAGCGTTCTAGCCCCCAAGAGTATGATTGAACAACAAGGAGCTAGTTCCTCACTGCAGTCTAAAAATGGTAACTTCTCCAGGTGTAACCTGGTTATTTATGTATTTTTGTACATATGCATGTCTTAGCTCCCTAGCTAAAGTGTAAGTTCCTGCAGGGCAGAAGAGCCTGTCTTAGTACTACTTTGTGTCTCCCATAGCATTGCCTGGTCCAAAGCCACACACTCAGCAGATATTATTGTTGCAGGTGGTGATTACCTGACACAGTAGGCAGTTTCTGACTTTTAAAAGTGTTACTGTATATTAGCCAAAGCAAAGAAAGAAAAGGTTTTCAGTGCTAATTTTGCAGGACGTTTTCAGAGCAGCCCTAACAAATCCAGCCAATTCCAGAAGAGTTCAGGGAGGCTAGGGTGCTTCGAGAGGCAATTCAGAGACATTCACAACAGGTTAATAAGTATGGATACCTCATACTCACTTGAGCCAGGAGAGCTCAGATCACCAGGTCAGAGCCACACAAGTCTAGACTTGAAACTCAGCTTCCAGCTTGGCCCACCCTGCTAGAGTCCTCTAGGCCGAGTGTCAGGAGGAACTCGCAGCACATTTTTGGCCAAGCCTGGAAGGTCTGTTCAGGACATGGGCCTGAACTATCTAGATCTCTATATTGTTATAGATTCGGCTTGTCGTTACTGGAACACTCACATTGACTTAGATAATGCAGCTCTAATCTAACCTACTACGTGCCAAGAAGGGCAAGTGGGAGTCTGGTGTTTATAGCATCTTGCATGTTGTTTTGCTTTTTTCCCCAGGAAGTATGTGAAGGTCTAAACACTATTCTCCCCTTGTTCTCCTTGGTTTTTCACCTGTACACTAACTAGCTCAGTGACTCAGCAGCTGGCTCCTGCAGGGGGCTGTCAGGACATATCATTTAGCTCTCTAGATGTAAGGCCTGCCTCAAAGAGACACTTA